ACACACACCAACAAACACACACACACACACACACACACACACACACACACACACACACACACACACACACCAAAATAAAATCATGAAACCAACAAAAGGCCTCAAGAAATCAGATTCTCAGCCGGGCGTTGGTGGCGCACGCCTTTAATCCCAGCACTTGGGAGGCAGTGGAAGATGGATCTCTGTGGGTTCGAGGCCAGCCTGGTCTCCAGAGTGAGTGCCAGGATAGGCTCCAAAGCTACACAGAGAAACCCTGTCTCAAAAAACCAAAAAAAAAAAGAAAGAAAGAAAGAAATCAGATTCTCTTTCAATTTTTGCATGAAATATTTTACATTGTATAATACATCAAAATTATATTTTAAAAAACTTATCAAGCTGGGCAGTGGTGGCACACACCTTTGATCCCAACACTTGGGAGGCAGAGGCAGGCGGATCTCTATGAGTTTGAGGCCAGCTTGGTTTACACAGTAAGTTCCAGAACAGGCTCCAAAGCTACACAGAGAAAGCTTGTCTTGAAAACCCCCCAAAAAAGGCTTATCAAGCATACACACATATTCTGTTTTATTTTCATAGCCCTTGCAGTTGTGATTAAATACTCACAAGATCAGCATATTTCTTACAGAGAGCTGCCAGCTTCTCCTCTGGGGTTGAAAGGGTGTTTAGCGCTTGCATCAGCAATAAAACTTCTTTTCCTAATGATTAACAAGAGAAAAAAGAAATCCTGAATAATAAGATCAAATCTAACCTGTGAATTCTTCTACCAACACTTCCCATGTTCTAATCTCAGAACAAAATAACTTATACCTACAAATAGGAATATGGTATTTGCTAGCTCAGTTCTGAAAGCTATTTTGAGCTGGATGTGTTGGCTCAAACCACTAATTGCAACATGCAAGAGGATTCTCAAGTTCAAGAGCATCCTGGGCCACAGAGTAAGACCCTGTATCAGAAAACAAAAACCAAATCAAACAAACAATTTAAGAATGTAGATACGTGGAAGAACAATTGTTCACCATGTCCTGGGTTTGATTCTCATCAAGGTGAGGAGCTACTTGTACATTCTGGATTAATAGACTCTCCCTCCTCTATTACTCATCCATGCCCATCCCAAATTTCTACACTCACTAACCCTGCTAGCTAAGACTTCCGTTTTTTAAGATTGTATTTATTATGTATATAACATTCTGCTTCTATGTATATTTGCACATCATAAGAGGGCACCAGATCTCATAATGGATGTTTGTGAGCCACCATTTGGTTGCTGGGAATTGAACTCAGGACCTCTGGAAGAGCAGACAGTGCTCTTAACCTCTGAGCCATCTCTCCAGCCCCTAGCTAAGTCTTCTTATTGAAGAGGTAAACATTCCATTAGAAGTTTATGTTAAGACAAATGGCAAATTAAAAACAGCAAAGAAAAAATTTGAAAGTTCAGTTTGACCAAGTATAAATATAGACAAAGTTTCAGTTGGCCATATACTTTGCCTATCTCAAATGCACATACCTCTCCTATGTAGTTTCAGTAACTTACTTTCTGGTGAGTTACACTGTTATCCCAGTGTTAACAAATATTACCAAAAATAAAAGAACAGCAAGGTAACTCTTCCCTGTGAGGGTGTTTTAACAGTATTTTAAGGACTTTGGCAGGGAAAATGATGTAGGGACAGTGTTTCAAAATAGGTGACTTTTTTGAGATGGTATCTCAGTAGCCCTGGCTGTCCTTGAACTCACTATGTGGACCATATTGGCCTCAAACTCACCTACCTGCCTCTGCCTCCTGAGTGCTGAGATTATAGGTATAGGTCACTATGCCTGGCTTAAAATAAGATTCTGTTTTAAATTTCTTTCTTTTTGTTTGTTTTTCAAGACAGGGTTTCTCTGTGTAACAGCCCTGGCTGTTCTAGAATTCGCTCTGTATACCAGGCTGACCTTGAACTCAAGGGATCTGCTTGCCCCTGCCTCCTGAATGCTGGGATTAAAGGCATTCGACACCATCAACTGGTACCTCTTCTATTTTTTTTGTTGTTGTTGTTGTTGTTTGTAAAGATAGTGTTTCTCTGTATAGCGCAAGCTTTCCTGGAATTGACTCTATAGACAAGGCTGGCCTTAAACTCAGAGATCTGCCTGCCCCTGCCTCCTAAGTGCTGGGATTTCTTAAGCTAGATGACAAATACCATTTTCTTTTTGTGAGATTTACTTTTATTTTATGTTTGTAAGTGTTTTGCCTGAATATATGTGGACCACATGCATACCTAGTACCCACAGAGGCCAGAAGAGGGTGTCTGACTCCCTAGAACTGGAGTTTCTAAGCCATCATGTGGGTGATGGGAACCAAACCCTGGTCCTCTGCAATAGCAGCAAGCCATTTCTCCAGCCCCCAGATAACATTTTCTTTCTTTCTTTCTTTCTCTCACTCTTTCTTTCTCTCTCTCTCTCTCTCTCTCTCTCTCTCTCTCTCTCTCTTTCTTTCTTTCATTCTTATTTTTCCCAGACAGGGTTTTTCTGTGTCACAAACAGCCCTGGCTGACCTGGAGCTCACTCTGTAGACCAGGCTGGCCTCAAACTCAAAATAGCTCTGCCTGTCTCTGCCTTCTGAATGCTGGGATTAAATGTGTGCACCACCTCCACCAGGAACCATTTTCATTTTTAAAAATGTTCACTCTTACACACAAGCTATCTCAATGTGTGTACTTTAATAGCTCCAGTACATAGATTGCTATGGAAAGAAAAGAGCAGAGTGGTATTAAAATTGAATACTTTTTAATGTGAGCACAGTGATGGCTTGAGCCCTATAGCCCAAGAGTTCAGGCAAGCAGAGTAAGACACCTACCTCCCAAAAAAGGAGGAAACTCTCTCCCCCCTCCATTCCCTCCCTCCCTCTGAGTCAGGGTTTCTCTGTAGCTTTGGAGCCTGTTCTAGGAGGAAACTTTTCTATCCACATAAAATTTTATTAGTAAAACCCAAGACCTAATTAGCCCAAGATCAATAAGAACATTATAAGAAATCGGGGCAGTGGTAGCACATGATTTTAATCCCAGCACTTGGGAGCCAGAGGCAGGAGGATCTTTGACTTTCAGGTTAGCCTGATCTACAGAGTGAGTTCCAGGACAGCCAGGACTGTCACACAGAGAAACCCTGTCTCAAAAAGAGAGGGGGCTAGAGAAATGGCTCAGAGGTTAAGAGCACTGGCTGCTCTTCTAGAGGTCCTGAGTTCAAATCCTAGCAACCATATGGTGGCTCACAACCATCTATAATGGGATCTGATGCCCTCTTCTGACATAATGGCATACATGAAGATAGAGCACTCATATACATAAAATAAATAAAACCTTAAAAAAAAGAAACAAACCAAAAAGGAACATTATGAGAATTCTTAAACTCAAAGGGTTTTTCCATTTTGTTGTGCAGTACTAGGCCTTTTGTGTGTATGAAACATAATCTGCATACCATACTTCAGTTTTCTTTTTTGGATATTTGAGACAGGGTTTCTCTGTATAGCCTTGACTGTCCTGAAACTCTCTTTGTGGACTAGGCTGGCCTCGACTCAGAGATTCACCTGCCTCTGCCTTGAAGAGTCCTAGGATTAAAGGTATGCATCACTACCAGCAGCCAGTTTTCATTTATTTTTAACTTTTTAAAAAAAAAATTTGTTACCCAGGTTGACCTTGAACTCCTAGACTCAAACAATCCTGCCTTAGCCTCCAGAATAGCTGAGATGATAGGTAGGTACCATTCACCTATGTAAAATTTACTTTCAAAACACACCATTTATTTCTATAGTGTAACAAAAAGAGAAAAGAACACAATTTAATATATTCACACAGTTGTACAACCATCACAAATATATAATTGGGCAGTGTTTTCATTAACCCCCAATAGTAGTCACTTCTTGCTCTTCCATCTACCCCCAGCCCTGACAACCACAAATCTACTTTCTGTTTACACAAATTTTATAATTCTGGGTATTTCATACAAAAGAGAATCACAATGTATACCCTTTCATGTTTGGCTTATTTTACATTGCAAAATGTTCTGCTAGATTCATTTTTTGAGTCTATAATCAGTGACTGCTTCCATCCTTTCTATGGCTAAGTAATATTCTATCATATGGATAGATCACACTTTGTTTACTCATCATTACATGATGAATATTTTTTTCTCCCTTTGGGCTATTAAGAATAAAGTTGCTATGAACTTTGTCTACAAACTTCTGTGTGAGTAATTTTCAATCTTCTTGGGTATATATACAGAGTTCCAGGATGACCAAGGCTGTACAGAGAAACCCTGTCTTGAGAGGAAACAAAAAAGAAAAGAAAAAAGAACTTTGAAGTCAACCTGAAGTATATGAGACCTTGTCTCAAAAAAAAAAACAAAAATAAAAAATTAAGCATATTACATTCTTGATCTGAAACACAAACTATATAGAAGAAAAATATGCCTTTGAAAGCTGGTTAACAGACTGTCTATAAAATTTTATGTCCAGCCTTAAACTGACAAAATAATTGTTTTTATAAACTTTTTGATCAGCCTAGTAAAAACACAAATAAGGCAAGTCATTTGCCACTCTGTTTGAGAATTCTTGATTATATAGAGAGAAATAACTAAGCTTCCTATTGTTCTTTCCACCTCCTACACATAACTGCAGCAGACAAGCTGACTAACCTGAAGCAACAGGTGTTTACTTTAAACTGATGTTGTGTGTGTGTGTGTGTGCGCGCGTGCATGCCACAGTCATGTGTGGAGGTAAGAGGACAATATGTAGCAGTTGGGCTCTTTTTGACAATGTGGGTCCCACGGATCAGACTTAGGTCCTCAGGCTTAGTGGCAAGTACCTTTGAGCCATTTCACTGGCCCACAAATAGGTGTTTTATTTTTTTTCCAAGATAGGGTTTCTCTGTGAAACAGTCCTTTTCTATCTGGACTCACTTACTCGACCAGGCTGGTCTCAAACTCAGAGATCTGACTGTCTCTGCTACACAAGTGCTGGGATTAAAGACATGTACTACCAATGTCCGGCCAACACAATAGGTACTTTAGCTAAGCATGTCCAACCTGGCCATGTTCATGGTCTCCCGTGTCTCACACAATGTGAATAAAGTGAGCAATATATGAAAACAACATTCAACTACTGTATAGAGCTTATTACCTAAGGTCTTCTCTTTGTTCCTGCTGCACTCTGAGTCCTGCTGGCCATCAGGAGGACCTGTTCGAGCTTCTCGTCCAGGAATTTCTTCTCTTGATTCCTGTGCACGGAATGCTGAGCTCACCAAATTCATGTTCTTTGTTATAAAGTCACTGCCTTCATCCCCTTCCAATGAATGCGTCTTAGTTGTGCCACCACAACTGGAGTCTTGATGTTGAAGAATATCATTTGCTTGAGAGTTACAAAACATGTCTTCTTTCACTTCTAACCCACAAATTCCAGCTTCTTCCATTGTCTCAATTTCAAACTAGAGGGAAGGGGAGAAAAGATAGAGTTAAATGTAATCAATATCTATTAGCAATGGCATGCCATAGCTTGACAGCTTTTTTACTTAGTAGTTTGTGAATTCAATTTAAATAAGGTAGCTTTTAAGCTTCACTGAGACATAATCTAAACTGTTAAAAAAAAAAGGTTATTAAAGTTAAAACAGAGCTGGGGTATAGCTCTGAGGTAGCAGTGCTTCGCTTCAAGAGCCCCTGGGTCTCATCAGGAGCACTTCCAAAAGTTAAAGCTAAAACAAGACATAACTATATGCTACCAAAGGAGGCAAATTTGCCAGTTAGTAATAAATTTAAACTTATTTCCCTATAAAAATTCACCATTTAAAAATAATTACCATCTTTTAAACAAGAAACTGTCCCAAGTTGATCAACATTAACTATCTTGTTATCTTAAAGATGATAGCACAGCTAGCTAGCTAGGTGGATATCCACCAAAAACTAACTCCCAAAATACCTAGCAGAATAGGCAGTAAGGGACAAGTGCCAGCACCCAGTAGTGGCACACTATATTCCTAGCCCCTTGACAGCTAAGTGAGACTCCCATGTTAGTCAAGGCTGTGAATGTCGCTTCATCGACCAGATTTTTACTCTCAGGTAGTTGAGGCTATGACTGTCATTTCAGCAATCAGATTTTTATACTCAGAAGGACATGTTCTTTGTCCTCCATCTCTTTCCCACTCTGGTAGAATAAAGAGGTCACCAAGGTACTATAAGATGGCAAGGCCAGACAACAAAAGAAGCCTGGCCCTGGCCCAAATTATTTATATATATACATATATATACATATATAAATGACACTCTACCTGCAAAGAAAACACATATTAGTATATTGGGTAAGTAATAAACTTCTCTCATGTTATACCATAGAAATTGAGACTGGTATGTTAAATAGCTCTCCCTTTCACTAATACAAAAGGCATGCATCTAAAAACAAACCAAAAAGCATTTATTCTGTTTTTTTTCTCCCTTGAATCATTATTTTTACCTTATTCTCTTTTGTAATGTTTTTGTTCAAGACAGAATCTTGCTATGCATAGCTCAGGTTGGCCTAGAATGTGATACTCTTCTGCCTGGGCCTCGAGATTACAGGTGAGTACCACATCTGGCTAACCCTATTTCCTTGTCTTCTCCGCATCCTATTTGTTAATATTATTTGGCCACATGATATGTCACAACTGTAAACTCTACATTTCCTTTCTGGTTAAAAAGAGGATTTCCAGCCAGGCATTGGTGGCGCACGCCTTTAATCCCAGCACACAGAGGCAGAGGCTCATGGACCCCAGACTGACAACTGGGAAACCAGCATAGGACTGTTCCAGACCCCCTGAACGAGAATGTCAGTTTGGAGGTCTGGTTAATCTATGGAGCCTCTGGTAGTAGATCAATGTTTATCCCTAGTACACCAATGGACTTTAGGAGCCCACTCCACATAGAGGGATACTCTCAGCCTAGACACACGGGGAAGGTCTAGGCCCTACTCCAAATGATAAGACACTTTGAAGATCACCCATGGAAGGCCTCACCCTCCCTGGGGAGCAGAAAGGGGATAGGATAGGGTGTCAGAGCGAAGAAGGGGAGGAGGGGGGGAGAGGGAACTGGGATTGACATGTAAAACAAGCTTGTTTCTAATTTAAATTAAAAATTACTTTTAAAAAGAGGGTTTCTTCCTTTCTGAATACAATTGAGGTACAAGGTATTTAATACAGTTCTTTTACCACAAGAAGAGAAAAGATACATTAAAAAAATTAATGGGATTAGGGCTGTAGCTTAGTGGAAGGATGACTGATTGCCTAACATGTGCAAGGCCCTGGGTTCATGCACCAGCACCAAAAAGCAAACAAACAACAACAAAAACCAACAATATTTTTTCAAATTAGAGCTGCTCAGCCTGGTGGTTCACATCTATAATCCTAGCACTTAAAATGTTATAGCAGATGTGGAAGGAATTGAGGGAAGGAAAAAACATTGTCAAAATATAGTGTATATAAATTTTGTTTTCAACTAAGAATAAGTTAAAATAAATAAAAGGTTGCTTAGGAAAATTGAAGCAAATTCAAGACCAGCCTGAACTGTTTAGGGAGTTCCAGGCTAGTCCGAGCTACAAAGTGAAACCCTGGCTCAAAACAAAACAAAATTAATGGGAGCCAGACACTTAGAAAACTCAGGTAGAATTTTCAGCCTGAGCAAAGATAATAAAAACAATTAATGATAGAGCATGAATCTGCTTGTTAAGTCTTTTAGTACACGTTTGTGTGTATGTGTGTGTTGTGCACAAGCATGCCACAATAATATGTCAAGTTATCAGAGGACAACTTGTAAGAATTCGTTCTCTCCTTCCACCTTGTGGATCCCAGGGATTGAACTTTGGCTTTTAGGCTTGGTGGCAACTGCCTTAACCCACTGAGACACCTGTTATTTCCAATTGTAACATACCAGGGCTGGAGAGATGGTTCAGTGGTTAAGAGTATCCTTTTCTTCTAAAGGACCTGAGTTTTGTTCCCAGCAACTCACACCTGCCTATAATAGCGCTAGCTTCAGAGGGACCCATTACCTAAAGTCTATAGAAGCAGTGTGCATACCTATACACACATGTACCCACATAATTAAAAGAAATATTTCAAACTGTAACATATCAAACTGAAGAGCTGAAAATGATCGAAGGACCAGTGCAGAAGGGAATGAAGATATTAAGGCAACTAATACTTATATTTTATAATCTAGGGTTGATATAAATCAATCACTGTGCTTTTGGGGGTAGTCACTAGTCCAACCTTGCCAAATGACTTTGAACTCCTGGTCTTCCAGACACCACGCCCCAGGTGCAGGCCAGTGACACTGTACTTTCTGGAGAACAAATTGGCATTGCAGTTCTTGGGCAATATGGATAGCTTCTAACCCACTTAATTCCACTCCCAGAATTTCACCCAAGTGTGTACATAGGTGCACTGAAAGGCCAAAAATGTTTAAAGCAACACTAGTTGGAATGGCTCTAAAACAAAATTCAACAGAAGAACTAATCAATTGCAATATGTTCAGACCATTGAGCAATGAGAATGAACTACTACAAATACAGCAGCATGACTTTCATGGACTAACATTGAGAGGAAGGCATCACAGAACACTTACTGAAGGGAACAATTTATATATAAAAAGAAGCTAAGAGAATGGATGGTAGTAGAATTGAGGCACTGGCTGAGTGGTGGTTGTGCATGCCTTTAATCCCAGCACTCGGGAGGCAGAGGCAGGAGGATCTCTATGAGTTCGAGACCAGCCTGGTCTACAAGAGCTAGTTTCTGAACAGCCTCCAAAGCCACAGAGAAACCCTGCCTCGGAAAAACAAACAAACAAACAAACAAAACAAAAGAAATGAGGCACTGGTTGGGCTTTCTAGAGTGCTTGGTAATATTTCTTGATATAGATGGGATAACACAGATGTTATCCTCCTAAACACGTAATAAATCCAAACATTCATAATTTGTGTACTTTTCTGAACAGACAAATGTTACTTCAAAGTTTGCTAAAAGTGTATAAGACACTAGGTGAGTTGGTACTCGCCTTTAATCCCAGCACTCTGGAGACAGCAGTTGTAAGTTCAAGACAAGCCTGGTTTACATGAGTTACATGTTAAGACCTGGCCTCAATAAATAAGTAAACAATAAAAAAAATAAAAATGATATCTAAAATATAAAATTGTATACTAATTTTAAAACTATATATGCTACAATTTAGGAGCTACAGATATAGCTCAGTGGTAGGATGCCTAAAACCAAGACCAAGGGTTCAATCTCTTGTACAGAAAACATATACAAGTTACAATTTATATACTACTTATTTGAGTAGTATCAGAGTCTCACTATGTAGCCCACCTGTCCCAGAACTCACTCTGTATACCAGGCTGACCTTGAACTCAGAGATCTGCCTGCTTCTGCCACTTGAGTGCTGGGATTGAAGGTGTGTTGTTACCATGCTTAGCTTACTTAAAGAGTTATAAGGAACAAAACAAATATTTTTCCCTAAAGTGACAAAAATCAGTTCCTATGAAAAGCAGCTACAATACTGAAGGAAGCAGGAACATTTGAGAAGCAACTGGTGGGTACCATGGTTGAGATATAGTACTAGATCCAGGTTCTGTGGTAGCAAGGCAATGATGCAGGACTGTCAAGTGCCTCCAGAGGAAGTTGAGGGAGAAATACGGATCGTGTATAGTCAGGCTGAGTTAGCTTCCTTGAGCCACAGGTTACAACTGGATGAAGAGGAAGACTTGCACAGTGCTCAGGAGCAGAAGCTCTAGAGAAGGCTGCAAAGACTGAGAGAAGTTTCGAGGTATTGAAAACTATGTCCTAGCTGGGCACATGCCTTTAATCACAGCACTAGAGAGGCAGAGGCAGGCGGATCTCGGTGAGTTCAAGGCCAGCCTGGTCTACAAAGCTACACAGAGAAACCCTGTCTCAGAAAAAAGAAAAAGAAAACCATGTCTTACATTTAAAAAATAGAACTTCAGGAAAGAAGTAAGCTCAAAGAACTAAGCCCACTGCAGGCAAGGGAAGTATCAAGTATGGAGGGGTGACTTGTATGTTGCTGACTATGGAAGGACATATGAGATGAACAGTGGAGTGACCTGAGCCAGCCGAGTCCTCTATTGACAAGTGGGATGAGCATATCAGACTGTCAGAACCTGAAGCATCTGAGATGAGGAAAAGTACTCTCAAAAGAAGACAAATATGGCCCTTCGCCCTGACCTCTGCTAATATGAATAAAAAAATACTCTCTTAGGAAAAAAAAAGAAGACAAATATGGGGCTGGAGACATGGCTCAATGATTAAGAATACTTGCTGCTCTTGCTGAGGAGCCAGGTTTGGCTCCCAGCACCTACATGGCAACTCACATTCAGCTGGAACCCCAGTTCCAGAGGATCTGACAACTTCTGTTTTCCACAGGCACAAAGCATGCATGTGGTGCACAAATA